GCTTCAATTGGTATGTTTTACAAGTTGATCTGTAGTGCTTCGGTACGGTGAACGCGATTTGGACCTTCACTAACGCTCCGGTAAACTTCGAATCACCGCTACCTTCAGAGGATCAACTTACGTTGCTGGGCCCGTCGGGTATTGACTTTAATGCCAGGTCCCTCGTTACTAAAATGATGATCTTGAAACTAACGAAATCAACGCTTGGAAGAGTTTCCTCACACTGTAACTTTAGATTTCGTATGTGTAGTCACAAGTGTGTGTATGGGGTGGATATGTTAGAATCATACTAATCCGAGTCCCGTTAGGTATTGAAAAGATTTATCTCGTCCTTTAGTTATTAGAACAGCACATCTCAAAGATAAAAAAAACACCTTTTCACATAGTATAGATAAAAGTGAAGCGACCTATAGATTGTTCCTTTATACGCACTGAAATTGAAGTATGTTCTGCTGTTATACTTCTGCGCACTAAGGCAAACTCTTTAACCTCTGGTAATAGAGAAGTACGATCTTCTGAATTTGTTGGTACTATTGGCTCAATATTGGAAAATTCAACAACAGTCTCCTCTCTTGTTAATCCCATATCTGTAGTCTCCTGTTGGACAATTTCTCTAACGGTATATAACAGCGGTGTATAACGATTGTGTTGAGAGAGAAATCCACCAATTTTGCCAATATAATCCTCAAGTTTATTATATTCTCCATCGTTTTGAAGAACACCTCTAAGCAATTCAAGATGACAATTTGGAGCTAAGCCTGGAGTTAGTGTATAAATTTCTGCAAAATCTCTTGTCCATCTTCTTGAGCTATCAAACCATCAACTCTATGGAACAAACGTCCGTTGGTAGTCATTGAATAAGTTCCATCTCTCGAGTCACCAGTACTGTTAGAACCCAAACATGATGGCGAAAGAATTGTATTGAACGTTCGAGAATATTTGGACGTGATTGGATCCAATAAGACATCGTTCATGTACTGTGGAGGTTCTTTGAATATCTCACCGAGTAAAACTTTCCCCCTATCACAGAAAAAAGATGGTCATTCAGTATCGATATGGAGTAGATGGCAATCGCAACACCTTTCAATGCCAGCAGAATTTCACTCTAAGTTCCGTAGTCGCCGTGGTCTCCGCTGTTGTTGTTGTTCATAAACTGGATCATCGTTTTCGTTAAAACCGTTGGTGTCATCTTCAATGATGTGTTCAAAGTTGGGATCATAATCAAAGGCACCATCACGTCTAATTTCTTCTGACGCTCTTTCTGCTACCTGAGCTGCATTTCTTCGTCTAACTCTTATACTATCAGCCATGGTTACATTATCAAGTTCGGGTTCAGATAATGGCGGCTGTTGTGGTAAGTCTACAATCTCTGCATGGGTATTCTGTGACAAAACTTGAGGGTTTCTCGGCTCTTTACCTTGCTCTCATAACAGGTCAGTTAGTCTGTCTCAATAATTAATGGGTCTTCTAGTTGTGTCGTACCTCCATTTGTTGGAACTTGCCACTGTGGTTCTGGATTAGCCGATGATGTTTCTTCTTCAGGTAGAGGGCGTCGTTAGAAGGTTCCAATGAGAGTTTTCCGGAGTTTCTTTGGTTGTCCTCCAGTGTTTTTTCTTCTGCTGCCTAATTTTTTGTTTATGACCATTGTTTGGTGATGTTTTCAATGTTGTATACAAAGCTGTATTTGTTTTGTGTCATTTTTTGTTGATAAGAATCCAAAATGTAAACAATGCCTATTAGAATTGGAAACACCCTTACATTATAAGGGCAGATATGGTGTGAACCATTTTGGAAAAAACAATGATCCAATCAAGTTAAAGGTTAGTATATATGATAATATTGATTAGTGCTAAGGTATGAGGGTTTCAGGTTCCCTAAATTTTGTTTCGTTGTTGAGATATAGACAGATTTATGTGTTTTTCTTGATTATATCATGCAAACCATGAATTGGTATATCTCAGAAATTATTGATGGTAACATGATCATACTTTGGATATCTCTTAATTAGAATAAGAGCTACATTGTGGTCTACTTTGGCGAATTTGAAGGCCGGTTTGCTATTTTTATTAGTATCATTGTAATATTCCTGGACAAACTCAGTCACAATAGAGGCAGTGGTTTGTTAATTAATAGGTTAATACGTTATAGTCATGGAATTAAACGCATTCTATCGCTGATATGCAACTTTTTGCTCTCTTATCATCAGGAAAAGCCTGAAGAATTAAAAAGCTGTGAGGTATCAGAATCGGATTATGGATCGGATTATGTCAGCGAGCATAGTCGAGCCAGTAAGAGCCGAGGAAGTTACAGTAATGGACTGTAACAACATAGAAGAACCAATAAGGGCAGAGGAACTACAGTAATGGACTGTAACAACAGAGAAGAGCCGTAAGAGCCGAAGAATTACAGCAGTCGACTAGATTCAAAGAGAGACTGAGAGAAGGTTAGAAATAATATATAAAGAGAGAATCCTGCGAAGAAGATTCTTTCAAGAGGAAGTTTAGAAAAGGATTAAGCAATTAATACAAGCCCAAGTTTACCTTAAGGAAACCGTAAGCTCAGTATAAACCTCAGACCCAGGACTTAGGTATAGGAGTCAGGAAAGAATAAGCCAAGGTATAATAAGAAGCGTTCAGAGCTGAGAGTTCTGGAGATTATTATAATTGGTATTGTGTAGAGGAAGAAATCTCACAAAAGCAACAACAGGCGCGAGTGGTTTAGCGGTAAAATTCCAAGTTGCCATCTTGGAGCCCCCGGTTCGACTCCGGGCTCGCGCATTCTTTTTTTTTTCAATCTCACGCTTAACACGGAATTTCGATACTGAAAAAGTGGCCCTGCCTTATCGGCAGGTCTCCGTTAACTTTTTAT